TGCCATCCTCTCTGTGTCTGTCCTGGTATTTCCCACTCTGCCATCCCCCCTGTGCCCACCCTGCCTTCCCCGCCTGTCCTGTCCACCCTGCCATCCCCCCTGTGCCCACCCTGCCTTCCCCTCTGTGCCTGTCCTGGTGCTTCCCACCCTGCCATCCTCCCTGTGCCTGTCCTGATGCTGCCCACCCTACCAACCTCCCTGTGCCTGTCCTGATGCTTCCCACCTTGCCATCCTCTCTGTGTCTGTCCTGGTATTTCCCACTCTGCCATCCCCCCTGTGCCCACCCTGCCTTCCCCTCTGTGCCTGTCCTGGTGCTTCCCACCCTGCCATCCTCCCTGTGCCTGTCCTGATGCTTCTCACCTTGCCATCCCCTCTATGTCTGTCCCCTGATGCTTCCTACTGTGCCATCCCCCTGTGCCCACCCTGCCTTCCCCTCTGTGCCTGTCCTGGTGCTTCCCACCCTGCCAACCTCTCCTGTGCCTGCCCCCTGGTCCTGCCCCTCTCCCCCTGCCCCTCCAGTGGTGAAGCAGCGGATGCAGATGTTCAACTCTCCCTACAAGTCAGTCCTGGCCTGCGTGAGGACAGTGCAGAAAACAGAAGGTTTTGGTGCCTTCTACCGCAGCTACACCACCCAACTGACCATGAACGTGCCCTTCCAGGCCATCCACTTCATCACCTATGAGTTCATGCAGGAGCACATCAACCCCCACAGGGAGTACAACCCTCGTTCCCACATCCTCTCCGGAGCCGTCGCTGGGGCCGTGGCTGCTGCTGCCACCACCCCCTTGGATGTGTGCAAAACCCTCCTCAACACCCAGGAGAACATGGCCTTGAGCTCTGTGAACATCAGTGGACACCTCTCAGGCATGGTGAATGCCTTCAAGACTGTGTATCAGCTGGGAGGTATCTCAGGGTACTTCCGAGGGGTCCAAGCACGAGTCATCTACCAGATGCCTTCAACAGCCATTGCTTGGTCAGTGTATGAGTTCTTCAAGTACTTCCTCACAAAGCACAAGCTGGAGAAAAGAACATCCTTGTGAGGAGGGAATGGAACCTTCTGTGGTGTGTGTATGTGTGTGTGTGTGGCTCCAGCAACCAGTTCTGGCTCTAAGGAATATTCCAGCTCCGAGGTGGATCCACAGCTGATATCCACATCTCCCTACCCAGGGACTCAAGTGGTTCTCAGCCACGTGTTCCTCTCCTTGCTTAACCCAACAAAATAGTTTATAAAATAAT